CCTACTCCACGAGATGTGGTGTGCCGATTCGCTTCGGTTCTCATTTTGATCTGGTCGTTCTAACTGATGATAGTCTCCCTGGAGGTTGCCGGTCTTCGAGGGTGAATTCACTCTGGCTGGGTTTCGCAAACTAGTCATGCACTGTACTTTCCTCTAGGGCATGATCTACTCAAACGTCGCATACCTTCCCTGCGGCTTGAGCCGCATTCTAGGCCTTGTGGTAGAAGAAATACTTCAGATGTCGAAAATGCGCGCACTGGCTCTCCATTTTCATCCGAGTCCTGTACAGACAAACTTCGACGAATGTTGACAGAATCCCAACAGGAATATAGAGGAGTACCTACACTTTCAGCAAACATATGACTTTATCAGGTTGGGTCCTTGATCTTTTGTACAACGGTTGATAAATCCGGGGTGTCAAAAGTCGGCGTAAACTTTTCGGACAACCCAATATTAGGGGCGTATATTGAGCTCCCATTATTTGAGCTTTGATTGGAGCTTTTCAAGGAGTAGCTGTATGACTCCAGAATTATTTGTAATTGCCTTTCCCTCTTGTCGTGAAGTAGACGAATATGCTCTGGTCAGATGTGGTAAAGTAGTATGGTCTAGCAAAGGCTTTAATTTGGACCTTGGGAAAAGATTTCAGTGCAGAATGGGACCACATATTCAGTGTGATAAATATCATGTTATTTTTTTTTGACATTCTGACAATTGTTATCGCCTGTATAATTGCCAGGAAACTTCTAGTGAAGTCATAGTACTAATCGTAGCTAATCGTAATAGCTGCCGCAGGTCTTACCTACTGACTACATTTTGTTGTATGGAGAATAAAGGACAATCTCTGGACAAGGACAGAAGTCTCTGATATCAATCATTTCTGTAGCGGAGTGTTAACAAGCTCTCTATCTTTTGAAAAGTGATGATGGAAAACTGGGAGAATAGAGCGGAAGCACTAAAGAGCACGGAAGGAATACAAAAAAAGACAGGGAAAACTCGTTTGTTAACTATTCCACTATCTTTTCGACTCTTCTGCTCCTTTCAGGCTTGACTTAAGCTTTCGAGACCTAGACTCTGCGCAGGCAGCCTAAGTATGTATCCAAAGCCATTCAACGTGCAATTTTAGTGCTCAGAGCCGGAGTTCCCAAATAAATGCAACTGTAGTCAGAATCCGAAACTCCAAGCCCCGCCAAGGATTGGAGGTCAGGAACACTATTGCTTCCGCCAATATATGTATAATATATCAGGTGGGCCGGACGCTCTGTGCAATGTTCCTGTGCAGCTGGATAAAAGCGGCTAATCACTGGATCCCACGGTACATAATGCGAACGCTGACAATTTTTGGCTGAGACACTTCCCGGAAATTCTCGCCTGAGCCAGACGTTATTTAAGTTTATTATAAGTTAAGTTATTCGAGACGTTGTTTTTCAAAGACATTATTTAATCCTTAACAATGAAAAAAACATTCTCACGTCGAGATTTTTGTCCTTCTGGAACGCACATGCCGGAGATGTGTTAGGGATTCCAGCCGTGATCGGCCGAAACTGCAAAAACCTCTATTTATCTTGGTAATCTTAATTCACTTCCTCCTAATTTCTGGATTGAAAAGTCAGTCAAAATGAGCACGTAGAACAAGAGGCATCAGCTGTTTTTATTTTCTGTTGAAGCACAGCTTCCATTCCCGTTTTCGCCTTTGTAACATAGCAAAGCTTACTTGATTGATTTTTTGCATTAAGCGTACGCGATCGTCATCTCCGAGCACACCAGAGGGATCGCAGACGTAGCTGGCAAATGGTAGGCGACATGTTAGCGGATCTATTCGTGGATCCGGATAGGTTTGCGAGGTGTACTGGGCACTTGCCACAACGATGACACATAGCAGCACAAGAAGTCGCATTGCTCTGAAACAACTCGATTTGTTGGTAGGAAAATGGTTGTCTGGACTATTCGTATACATCTGCCATGTATGTTCAGCGATGAATACAAGACTAAAAAAGAGTTATGAGATGAATACCGAAAAAGGGAGAACAAATCTGAAAGGTGGAAAGTGGAGTACTCGAATAGTTTAGCGTTAGCTCTCCTAGAAGCTGGTGCCCATGTATGATTTTTTAAGTCTGGGCTATTCACAATCAGTCCTGTTATATTCCGATGATATACATGAACTATGTACATTGAAAACGTTCTCCCTAAAGTACCATCCTCATTACAATCTTCGTAACTCGTAAAGGTTTTAGAGAAGAAATAAAGACTTTCAAGTACAGAATCTTTGGAGCGCACACTGAAGTTTCATGTCAAGTACATTGCATTTCTGAGTAAAATTTATACAACAGAAGGCTTAAAATATTCAGAAAAATCCAGAATATAATATTATATAGTAATAGAAAACAAAGGTCAGGTCACGAGAGGCAGTTTATACTAGTTCTAATTGTAAAGGGTAAGTATGGGTAAAGTCGTAAGGCATCGATCAATCCCGTGTGAGGTACCGACTCCGGAGGGATGGAAGACGTAATTCATTAGCTGGACATCGATCCGAGATTGGAACTCGGGACCACGCGTGTGTAGTAGTGCGTCACTTGCCGCCACTCCACCCCGCCCTATCCTTATCATACCATAATACAAATGAATAATTTTATTTAATTGTGTGTGACCAATTCCAAAGCTTCTCTTCCTGTACAGTAATCTACAACGTTTGGATTTTGTAGTAATAAAGGAACTGCGCAAGGGGTGCGAACAAGATGACAGATGACAGGTATGATAATAATTGGTAAGGGTTTATAAGGAGCTGTAGGAGGCGAGAACACTTTGGGAAGCAATACGCGTCAACCGTGGAACCTTGGCACGTTGGCGGGTGAGGGGTTCCTGTATGGTTGATGGGAGGATTCAGTAAAAACAGATGAGGCTCTATAAGAAACCAAGGTGTAGAGGGTGTGTGTGATTGCATAAAGAGGCAAAAAAGACTAAATCGTCGTTCCAGAAATACTGCGTCATCACAGTGAAAGGGAATGAAATATTTATGCTGGCTATTCCATGATTGGGCAACAGTTGAGCGACTAGTTTATTAATATAGTTTATTAATATACCAGTTTATTAATATACCATTATAGTGGGTGAATGAGAGGATTATACACTGAGAATTCGAGTAACGAGCTTCTAGGAGAACAGACAAAGGCCTCACATATTTTTTTACATTGAGGTAAAATGGTAATTGCTTTTTTTAACACCCGATGACAGAATTATTCGTTGTTGATTCGATGATGGAGCAGGATTTCGTAATACATTCAAAACAGAATGAACTGAAAAGGGGTTATCCGTGTAAAACCTGGGTAGTGGAACGGAACGCGACCGCTCCAGTCGGTCACCGCGATCCGGTCTGATTCAGAATAAGCGAAAGTGAACAGTGAGGAGAATAACAAACGACCTCCGCCAGATAATAATGCTCTAAGAGCTGCAGCGCAAATCTCTTGAAGGATGAAACTTTTCAGTGGACAAATGGTGCCCACAAACCGACTCGCTCTCTTTTGCACGGCTAGATAACTTGCCAATGCTTGAAATCGTTTTTGTTAAATACTATTTTCCTCAAATTTTTCACAGGCAAGTCATCTTGGTGAAAGAGATCTGAGTGAATCTGAAAGTATTGAAGTATCTTCTTGAGAAATTTGAGTTCTGTGATGTTTCTCCATTTAGTATCCACAACACTTTATAATCAAAACCTATTCGCAGGATGATCACTTTTCTAGAAATATTAGCGTGGATCGACACTCCAATGAGCCTCACTAGAGCTAATAATATTAGTAAAAAGTTGAAGTATCATGCACATACTTTCTGCTCTATCCCAAACCCATCTTTTCAGTTTTGATCAATTCCTCCCCATATGTGTAGAAGTCATAGCTACTAAAGAGGTTCCACGAAAATTGCCAAGGTTTGGAGTGGTTAAAATCTTGAACACAACGGCTTATCGTTTCCGTCGCAGTCACCATGTGTGGAAGCGCAGAACACGGGTGAGATTTTAATCCCCAGAGGGTGATTACGTTCAATGCCGTGAAATCTTTGCGCGACTGCGACCGTGGGAGTTTGGGGACGGTGTATGCTACTTAGGGTAAAGTCTACAGCAAAACTTTGATTGTTCACACAATCAAAATCTGGCGGATCTTTTGAAGAGCAGTGGATTCCAACTGACGATCGCGGAAATGCCCTACACATTCACGAAGAAAACTAAAGGCTTGGAATATATGACCCAGTAGCGCCTTATACTCTTAATGTAGGTGGAAAAGTTTTACTTAAGGTTGAACTGCCCCTTTTAGAAGCGCCACATTTCGGCTTCTATTTGCGTGATCACATCCAACGGGTTCAACATAGAAGAGCTCGGTGTGAGGGAACTATTGGTCGTTGAATGAATTGCAGTCGTGGAAACAAGATGAGAGGAATCTCATTGCCCTTTTAATAAGTAGTAACAGATTTGAAGAATACAAAAATGCGGTGGCAGGCAGGATTGTCTTCTGTAGTAGGTGGAACAACCACGGAGAGGTTTGGCTTCGAAGAGAAGGGGAGAAAAATATCTCTCTTCCTTGTACTGGCAGTAGCTTTAGTGGCACTCATCTCACACTCGAAAATTACCGGTGTAGAAAGGCAAAATATGCTGTTTTAATAAGTGTAGTGACGCTCTCGGAAGGAATGACTCAGAGCTCGAGTTCATAGAATTCATGTCCCTCCAGCATCAGGGCGGGGAGTGAAACCTGATAGATGAAGAAGAAAGAGAAACAATTTCAGATGAAGAAAGAAGATTGACTTTTGCGCAACCGGCTTCAGAAAGAACAACAGTGGATGGCTAGGATTCTGGCTAGTGAAACTCGGAGGAGAACCGGTGTCATTGACGTTACTAAAACACTAGGAGAACAGTTGTACTAGGCATATTGCTCGTAGTAATGACCACAGCTTCACATCTAGAGTGACTAGTTGGCAGCTTCGCGGAAAAAACCCTGAACTAAGTGGAGTAATCCTTTGAACAGACATATCGGCAGGCTCCAAGGAATTGAAACGAATATTTTAGGTACACAGGAATACAAAATTACCACATGAATAACCGAATTAAAGAGATCCGAAGTGTCTTCTAGCATATGTATATCTATGCGTGTGCCGTTGGTATCCTGCTGAATGATTGCATTCGATTGACTGAGAAGTGCTTTTAAGGCGATTCGGGGTCGCATTTAACAAATACGCTTCTTGCGCACTCTGGAGAAGCTTCGTTAACTGCTCGTTACACAACGCTTTCAAGGCTGTAGAAGAAGTACTCTTAGGATCATGCTATAGCAAAGGTGACGGCGGTTGTTCGTCAACACGATTTTGGCTATGAAAAATGATTTGTACTTGAAAGCTCGACAGCTCAAATATGAAACATGCGATTGCTCATGATTGCCCAAGCTTTAACATTCTTCGTTACCCAAACAACAACATTAAACTACGAAGAAGAGAATCTGAGAATCCTCCAAAGAAAACCATACTTTCTTCAAGGGCATTACTGGCGACTGCAATGCCAAGAATGGCTTTAGAAAAAGGACTCTAAAGTCTTGCATATCGGCTGACCGCAAAGAAGGGAATCTTATTCTCCTTGTTCATCTCCCCAAAAATACTCCTGAGTACTCCTCGTAGCCGCGTTCCTTAGAGATCCAACTCCTTTTCTTATGTCACCGAATAATCCTGTGACTTTGATAAGAAGTACGAGTTCACAACAGCGCAGACGCTGCTCTCTCATATGCAGCTGCACAGGAACTGTCTGCATGAGCGTGCTGACATCCTCGTTCCTGACCTTGTCCAACAGCAGGGCCCCTGAGCTTTCCCATATCAATGGATTGAAGTTCCCTTTCATGATTTTCGCTCGAAGACCAACGCGAGTACCATTGAACTCCCTCCATTTCATGACTGTGATTAACGATTGACTTTTCCTGCTTTTTGGGGTGCGATACTTACTCTTCAGATTCAGCCAGCAGCGTCAGCATCACAGGCTTTTCCTGCGGTTCCTTCTGGACTCTTTCCTGCACTTTACTATTAGCCACTATTAGAACTATGTCATCAGCAAAGATGGTCTCCAGTGGTCCATACATGTGTCTTTTTCTGATGGCCCCCAGGGAAGAGGACTCTCAAGGCCTGTGTTTGTTTTGCCTCAGCCTCAGTAATGCTTTCTACAGTAATCGGCTACAAGAAGTGTGAATGACTGCTTGGACCCATCAAGCATGTCTTTCACCAGGGAGAAGAAACATCGCAGAATGTTCCGTTCTCTAAAGACTCCGTAGGAATTTTAGCGGGAGACCACACAGACATTTCCACACTGGAGAAGGCTAGGTGATAGAATCTAATCTCCTCCCCACA